ATATAAAAATTATTTTCTCTCATTAGTTTTTTCTTTCATTTGCGGTCAAAACGGACACGAGTTCAGCCGACATAAGGGGGGATGCTGTTGGCATGATTTTTTTTTTTTTTTTTTGATCATGTTTATTACTCATTGATAATTATTATTTTAATTTTTAACATTTAAGATAAATGTATAATTATATATTTTTATCTCTAAAATAATATCACAAGCCGCAAAATAAAGGGGGGCTGTGGTCTTTATATATAAGTTGCAAGGTCAGGCGAATTATCGAATATTGCGAAGATGGAGGAGTGGCAGAGTGTGCTAAAAATTAGTTTATAAACACGGATGCTTTACCAATAATCTTAGGAACAATAATTGCCTTGCTAGTTTTGACTCTCATTTACCTCCTCACCCAACAAAAAAATCAACAGCCAAATCCCCAATTAGAAAATAATCTGCAACAAGCCTTAAAAAATCAGGAAGAATTGATAAAAATCCGTTTAGAAAATTTGAGCAAAGAATTGCAAACTAGCGGCACTACTCTTACTCAAATTAATAATATTCTTTTAGCCCCTATGCAAAGGGGTCGCTTGGGTAATACTCAGTTAGACCAATTGCTATCTTTATATTTGCCCAAAGATGACAAAGTTTATCAATTAGAATATCGCTTAAAAAAACCGACCGGTAAAGGAGGATTTTTAATTGTTGACGCCATTATTTTCGGCATTGATGGTAAAAATAATATCGCCATTGACAGCAAATTCCCTCTAGAAAATTTTCTTTTGCTTCACAAAGAAAACCTTTCTGATTTAGAAAAAAAAGAAATTGAGAAGAATTTCAAAAATAATCTTAAAGACCATATTAAGAAAGTTGCCGAATATGTTTCAGAATTAGATGGTACCGACCATGCTATAATGTTTATTCCCTCCGAGGCTGTTTTTGCTAAAATTAATGAACACGGCTATTACGAAATTATGGAATTCGCTTTGGAAAGGAAAGTTTCTTTATGTTCGCCGGTAACACTGGCAATCATTATTAACCAGATTCTTTGAGCAACCAAAACTTATGAGCAATATCGTAGCATGGATCAAGTTTTGCTAGAATTAAAAAGTTTTTGAGAAGATTTTAGTAGATTTCAAGAAAGATGAACCAAAATACAAGAACTAGTTACTAAATCAAATAAAACCTTAGAAGAATTTAATATTAGTGTACAAAAATTAGTGAAAAAAGGGGAAGGAATTCGGAAAAGAAAGGCAGTTCCTCTTAGTGAAAAAGAGAAATTAGAGGAAAAAGACCAAGAAAATTTGGGTGAATAAAGAAATTAAATGATAGTTTTTAACTACTTTAAATTCAAATTTTTCTTTTTAAGAACTTAGATAATTTTATTCACTCTATTACAATACTTAAATTAAATGTTAATTAAACGGGGTTGGGAGATGCCCTTGCCCCACAGCATAAAGCCCTTATATTACGATTAACCTTTTGAATGGTTGACATAATATTGCTTTCTGATGGCACCATTATTAATATTCTTGCTGTAGTTTCTCCTCTTGGTCTTTTCTAGTAGAACCCGATTTAGGACTTTTTAATAAAGTGCCAGTTTCACAATCAAAAATGTCTAACTCTTTACTTAACCGCAATTTTTTAAAAAATTTTATCTTATACAAATGATTATTTTTTTCTATTTCCGGCGGCAATTTGGCTATTCCTTTTACTATCACACAATCACTCCGAATAGTTAATACACTTTCCAATGGAAATTGTCGATATAAGTAATAAGTCCTTAACAGTGCTAATTGACTAACCGCTAAATGCCAAGGCAGATAATTATAATGATTAAATTTACTAGAACCTAGGACACCTCATAAAGTATTAGCCAACATTTTGCCTTCTTTTTCAGTCTTTTCTTCTTTTTTTAATTCATCGCAATAATTTAAATATTTATTAGCACAACCTCTCTTTTCTTCAAAAATTCAAAAGTCGGTATAAGTTATTTTTCCTCTAACTTTATAGTGTTTATTAAAAGCCCAAAATAAGCGAGTGTGTAATAATATTCTCTTTTTTCTTTTTAGGGCTGATTTTATTCCGCCTCCTTCTGTCATATAATCCCGTGTGGGAATAAAAGGAATTTGTTTCTTTTTAATTTGTGCATAATTTTCCAAGTAAAATTTAACAAATCCGCTTTTGCCTTCTTGCAGTTTTTGTTCTATTAACTGCGGGTCTTTGAGATGTTCAGATCGACCACACGGCAAAGGATAATCCTTCATAATATTAGCGTAGCAGGATTTAATATCAATATAATAAACGTTCTCAAAAGTTCCTTCTTGAAAAACTTCAAAACGGGACGGGTTTTTATAGCGACTAAATTCTTGAAATAATTTCTTATCGGTACTAGGATGAACAGCCGTAAATTCTGGCACTAATTTATGAAGTAATTTCAAAGCCCGCGTGCCTCGGCTGTCCGGACTATTTTCGCCAACACCCCGCTTTTCCAGAATAACCGCCTCACCGATTTTTATTTTTCTACTCTCATTGTCAACAACTATTTCTTGCCCTTTCAAAATATAATGGAGATGATTTATTTGTCGGCATTCTTCTTCCGAAAGTGGACAAGATGGTGCTTGGAGGTTAATCAACAAATTAGGAAAAGTATCAGTATCGCAATAAATATTGATCGGATATTTGCCTATTTCACTTAAAGAAAAAGGATTAAGAGCTTGATTATTAGAAGTAATTATTTTTTTTTCTCAATTTAACCAAAAATGGGTTTTTTGTCGCATGTTGCTAATTAATTTTTACTTTTTTTTTTATTTCATCAAACATCTTTTTCGGTTGGTAAACTACCAGCAGTAAACAACCCCTCCCAACTCTTTTTAGTTCCTCACGCCTTTTGTTGCTTATTCATTAAGCAAGGGTGATCAACGTGTTCTTCTTTATTCCGACATTCAATACACAAGCCATTTTTATCGATATAAATCGCTCCATTATTTTGTTTTCCTTCTTGATCTGTAACAACATTGTGGAGAAAATAAACTAAACAACGGCGGCAATGAGCAAATATATTGTCTTGGTAATTAGGGAAAGGAGGAGCACAGTATAATTGGTAAAAATCAGAAAGAGAACTTATTTTCCCTTGCTGATAATAATATTTCCATTGCTGACAGTTATAAGTAGCAAAGTAAAATTTTCGGGAGCAGTCATAACAATTAACCACCGTAATTAGAATTTTTTCCAACATAACCTCTAATCCTTAAAAACTTCTGGATAAAATCTCTTCACCATCTTCTTTCACCCCTGATCTAAATAAAAACAACAATTATCAAAAAGATAAAATTTCCGATAATTAGGATGCAAGCGATTAATAACACAAAAACGACAAGCAAAAACTCCTCCTTTATACTCAGGATCTACTCAAACCTCCCGCACCTGATTTCAAGAAGCAGGTTTATCTTGATGGACTAAGAAAATAGAGTTAAATTTTTGATTAGGCAGTTGCTGCTTAATAGTCGGTAAAATATTACCTAAATATTGTTGGGTTTGTTGGATAGTAGGAATGGGTTTAGGGCTATTATAGCAACCTTGGCAGAAGGGAATGATAAGCGAAGGACTGATTACTATTTCATTTTTGAGGAGTTGGGGAATTAGTTGTTCGGGTTTTATCGGTTCGTTATGATTAGTTTCTTTAGTTGCCTCTTCTAATTGGTCTGATTTGTCAGACTCTTTTCACTCTTGGTATTGGTTTTCAATCTTATTTAATTCATCAACAAACTTTTTTAACTGTTCTTGATAAAGGGGGTATTTTTGACTTAATTCAATTAATTGGTCTTGTAAATCTTGTTTATATTCTTGTCAAATAAAGTCGGGGTCATTTGTTTCCTCGGTTCACTCATTAGGGTTTTCCATGATTTTTAGTTGGGCTAAAATTCTTTGTGGACTAGAGGGTGATTGCTGGCAAGTAGGTGGACAACCAGCTTTTTGGCAAGAATTTTTTAATTCTTGATCTAATTCTTGGAGGATAGTTTTTACTTCTTTATTTTGGGTTATTAATTCGGTTAGTTTCATAGTTTTTTACTTTTTTTTTAATATTTATTAGTCTTATTGATGAATTTCTTATATATAGTTCTACTATATATTATATTTTATACATTTATTATAATTTTATATTGACTAACGTTTAGATTTTTTCTTATAATCATAACGACCAATATGACAACTACCTCAATCTTTACCCGCTACATTGGTTTTTTCTCCTTGTAAAGATCAATGCCATTGTTTAT